GCTCTGCAGAAGCAGAAAAGTTCCAGCTGATTTTTTTCCATCCCTTTTGGGAAAGTTTTTCCATAACTTTAAGTCGCTTTTATTGAGGTCCAATTTATATATTTTAAATTCACCCCTTTTAAGTTTATAGTGTGATGGGTGACAACTGTAGACTGTTGTGTGACCACCCCAACAACTGTGACCTGGAACGTTTCTATCACCCCAAAGCATTCCCCTGTGGTCCTTTGCCACCAACCCCCTTCCCCACATACAGCTGTTGGCCAGCAGTGCTCTGCCCTCTATCACTATAAGTTTTGTCTTTTCTAGAGTTTCAGATAAGTGGATTGTAGCTTACAGCATGTAGTCCTTTGTGTCTGGCTTCTTTTTCATAGCAGAATGATAATTTTTGAGATCTTTCCATGTTATGTGGATCCATAGTTGGTTTCCCTTTACCACCGATCAATATTCCATTGTATGGATATGCCTCGATTTGTTTATCTGTTCACCAGTAGATGAGTCAATACCTTTGGGTTCTTCCCAGTTTTGTGCCATTATGAATTAAACTATCACAAAATAAAATGTAATTAACAATTGCATAGTGGCCTTTCTGTGGACATGTATTCTCTTTGTTCTTAGATAAATAGGAAAGGACTGTTGGGTCATATGGTGAGTATGTTTAACTCTACAAGAAAGTGCCCAACTGTCTTCCAAAGTGACAGTACCCTTGTGCGTTCCCACAGCTATATCTAATTGAGGGCTCTGGCCACTGTGTCTCCTCAACAGCTCTTGGTAATTATGAGTCTTTTGCATTTTAGCCATTCTAGAGGATTTATTGACGTATCACATTTGGTTTTGCTGTTGTTGTTTTGAATTAAATTTTGAAGTACAGTTTCTCAGGGTTTTTTTCTTTTATGGTTTTTGCTTAGAGTCCCAAGACATTTAACCCAAGATCACAAAGATTGCTGCCTATATTTACCCTTAAAATAAATGGTTTCTGACTTAATCTCCATGCCCTCAGGTTACTCTCTTCTGCTTTTATTTACCTAGTGAATACAAAGCCTTCAGATATTATAGTCAGTCTGACAGAAGTGTGTATTAAGTTTTTAAATTAATGCTTGGTGTGTCCCTCCTTCGCTATCCTGTCTGTGTTGCCTCCTATGTGCTTGTTTGTGCAATGCCAGACAGATACACACACAGAATTTTCTGGAATCCAAGGTCTCTCATCTATAGTTGTCTTCCCATGCTCCTGCAGAAGGCATTACTTGGAGTTCCGCAGTCAGGCAGTTCATAATGACAGCTCATGTGACTTCCAGAGAGGACAGTGACTTTTGTTAAGCTCTTAGGTCAGGCTCCATTCCTAACAATTTTACCTATTTTAACTAACTTAATCCTCAAATCCCTGAGGAAGAAAATGAAGGCTTCAGGCTCCCTCTAATACAGCCTGTTTGTGGCAGGGCCCAGGAGATCTGGAGTGGCCTAATTCCAAGCGCTTTGCTCTCCCCACTGTAGTAAACCACCCCAGGCTGTGGCTGGAGTCTTTTGTGATTGAGCACATCTTGGGACACAATATCCACCTGATTGTTGTCTTTCTTGAATCAGATGTGCCTCCAGTCTCAGTTCAGACATCTGATTCTAAAGTCCCATGGTGGGGCCTTGGGACAGAGTTTCCCAAAGAATCACCCTTAGCCCGCAGGCAGAGACCCGCATGTGTCAGCCAGGCCACAGAAGAAGGTGGTGTAGTTTGTGCACTGCACAAATGTACACAGCGAAGGGGGCAAGTGAAGGCTGAATTTCAGCCTGCTTTTGTCCTATGGGATCACGGGGCTGTGTCTTCCCAGAAGATCCTGTTTAGTTCCCACAAAGTCACTGTATCTGCTAGTAGTGGCCCTGTCCTGTAGGGGAAGCTGCCTAAGCCATGGACTCCAGGGGGAATTACAGGTGCTGTCACTGGCTAAATTAATCACCACATCACACTCTCCTAGCCGTTTTGATTGGCTGAGGACTGAGAATACAACCCATGTTGGAAGATTCTTGGTCAATGAGGCTTAATCTGGAGGCTTCCCTTTGAGGGCTGTGGGTCTCTTTTCCCAAGGTGAGGACTGGAGCTGTGGCAGACGATCTTACAATTAGATGGGGCTTGATAATGAGGTTCATTCCCACAAACAATGCAGAGAGAAAGCCTTATTATATAATTTTGATGAGCCCTTGGTCAGGTTCTGCCTGAAGCCCGTATCTCCTCATGGACCATGGAGTAACCTATAGTATTAAATTGCCTGTTTTGCACAGACAGTCTGGCTTGTCAGTGTCTGACCAAGAAGGCACCAAATAGTCCATGCATAGTGTACCCAGGCTCCCTCCCGGACCACTTCCTGGGTCCGTACCTCCATCACAGGGCCTGCCACCCTCTCATACGACATTATTTACTTATTTAGTTAATTGAGTTTCTCCCTTCGCTCCTCCCGCCTGCTGAAGTGTATGCTCTATAACGGGAAGGGATTTATCTGGTTTGCCCACTGATGGATGCGCAGTCCCCAGAACGAGTTCTTAGCACATAGCATGCATTCAAATAACATTCTGTTGAATGATATATCTACTCGCTGAATAATTAAAGATCACTAAAATTCCATATGCACAACTAGAAACCAGCACAGCTCTAAAGTTAACCAAGGACCAGCCTTCTAATAAAACACGTGGCTGCTTGTCCTTGTTTTGAAATGTCGTGAAGCGTACCCTGCACTGCGCATGCGCAGCTTGGAATGTCGTGAAGCGTACCCTGCACTGCGCATGCGCAGCTTGAAATATTCCCGCATATTTCAGGCAGGGTGCTTAGTGCTACGTCACCACGGATGTGTCAGGTTGGTGATACTATTCAGCTGGAACTGTTTTAAACATATTTTAAATATTTTTAATTAATGTATTTGCAGGATGATTCTTAGATTTTACTTTGAGTTGGTATATCTGTTATTTGTCACTTTTTGAATTTTTATTTTGTTTCTCTTTACTTTGCTATCATGAGCTACTTTTCCTCAGGAGAGGATGAAAGAATTAGGGGGCACCGGTGGTCTGTGGTATCTTTTGTCTCTCTTATGTGCCATAGTCAGGAGCCACTGAGAATTTCTTCCTGTTTGGGATATTGTGATCCATGTTTCTTTTACATTCTGTTAAATCTTCCAGGAAATACCAAAGAATCTGACGCTTAATCCAGCAAGTTTCTTACATGGCTCCCATCAGTCTCACATTCCAGATTTATCTTTTATCTTTGATATAGAATCTGATACCTTTGTTTGTTTCTCCGGCGGTGGCTGGACCAGAACACTCGTAGGAGTCAGTGGCTGGTTTTTGCTGAAGCTAACAATCAGCTTCGAAAGAATGGCCTTTTCCATCTGCCTGTCATCTTGCCTGAGCTCCCACAATTAAGACATTTATCCTGTGGGTTAACAAGCTTTTCATACTTAGAAGGAGCAGCACAGGGACACCTGGGTGGCTGCCGGTTAAGTACCTCCCTTCGGCCCAGGTCATGATCCCAGGATCCTGGGATTAAGTCCAGCAACCAGCTTCCAACTCAGCAGGGAGTCTGCTTTTCCCTCTCCCTCTGCTCCTCCCCCTGCTCATACTCTCTCTCTGTCCCTCTCAAATAGATAAATAAAATCTTAGAAGAAAGAAGAAGAAGAGGGAGCAGCACATTACTTCTGATGTCTTCCTCTTTGGTTACCAAAAGAGTGACAAGGGTGTGGGGGTAGGAGGAAGAAGCGGGCCAGTTCTTCCTCCCACTTGAGAGGGCCAGTTCTGTCTGTTCACTTCTCTTCTCCTCATTGCCAGCATGTGACAGCTGGTCTCAGCCTGCTAAGGTTACAGGGGAGCAGGGGAGCGTTCTCAGTTTCGGGTATAAGACTCGGTGTTGACTGGTTGGCAGAGCAACATAAGGGAAGCCAATGGCCATCCACCTAGCCTGAACTGCGTGGCCACATGTGCTCTCCTCTCTGGTGCTTCTAAGAAAGGCAGATATGATCACATCAAAGCCACATTTTCTGTAATTGTCAAGTCCATAACATTTTTTCTTACATGGCCAAGTAGATTCCTGATTTAGGGAGTCACAAATCTGTATGAGGGAAAAATTACCTTCTGAGTATTGGGGCAACCTCTCATAGGGGATCTCAAACCTCACCAGGCAAAGAGACTTGAGCAAGGTGACGGGGTTGTTAGTGGCTGAGGAGAGAGGAACATCAGGCCCAAGGCGGCACCAGGCACCAGCTGTGATTCTTGTCTTCCCTCCTCAGTTGCTGTACTCATGCTTAAATAACCCCCACCCATTCGCCCCCACACAGAGGTTGGCTAGGCACGTGGCCCCCCTCTCTCCTCTGGTCAGACCAGGGCTGCAGCTGGGGTGGGTTGGAGGGGGGCTATTCTGAGAAAAGGCAGGGACTTTGAGGAAGGAGATGAAGAAATACATGGGTATGTTTTCTGAGTCTTATTTCACTTTTTCATTCCCATCGCTACTGAAGTGGAACAGAGCGATCTTCTATGCAGACAGCTATTTATTAAAAGATGGCCCTGGAATTGATGGTCCACGTCAGCCTGATACAGACCCTACCAGTAAAGATTCCCCATGGCGAAGGGAAAACTGAGCAGATGTCTGAGCAGGAGAACGTGGGCACTAGAGATAGGGCAGAGGGGTGCAGAAGCTGCAGGGGGCTGGAGGCTCATTCCTGAGGTTCCTCCTCCTGTCTTCAAACCTTTACCCCTGACCACCCAACTCCCGGCTACTTCACCAGTCCCCTCTCCACTCCGAGACAACCTCATGTGTGGAGGAGGAAAGCAGAGGACCATGGAGACACATCCCAGGGTGACTTTAGAGCTAGAAGCCACTGTCGTACTAGTATTGAGGACTTGGCCCCTAATAAACCTAGAACAGTGAGTGCAACAGGGGCACCAGCTGCTATGTTTACTCTGAGATGACGGGGAGATGCAGCCAGCGCACACACAGGGAAGGGGACAGGGGCTTGCACGATGTGGACACAGCCTCGAAGCTCATTCTATGGCCGGTATTTGCACACGAAGTGCTGGCGGTTGCTGCATTCATTGCTCTCCCAGGTCAAAAAATCTGTAAGACAATAAACAAACAGTGAAATCCATCTGGATCTGTACTGCATGTACCCGCGTCACCTGAGGATTTTGCCTGGAACACCGGGGAAGGTACTGCCATGGTTCATTTCCTGTGTCGCCTGGGCTGGGGTGTGTTCCCAGGTGTTGGGACAAACACCAGCCTACATGTGGCTGTGAGGGATTATTTTTTTAAGCTGTGATTAGTATTTAAATTAGTTGACTCTGAGTAAAGCAGAGGACCCTCCATAATGCGGGGAATCATCCAGTGAAAAGACGGAGTTTCAAGGAGCAAAGAATTCTGAGTCCAAAGTGCCTCCGATGCAGCACCACGACGTGAGTGGTTGTGGGGGTCTCTAGTTGCGGGGCCCACCCTGCGCACATCAGCTCTGCCAGCCCAACGATTGCAGGATCCACGTCCTTGAAAGAAATCTCTCTGTCTACATGTGCATCCTGTAACTTCTGTCTCTCTGGAGAACCAGACAGTCCTACCGGTACTAACTTTGTTCCCAGAAAGAAAAATAATTTAAATGTCACCTACAATTGCAGAAGCCACATGCCAGCATCCCTTCTGAGGGAAGGCAGAGCTTGACACGAATCCACAAAAAGTGGGCGTCCTTTGTATTTGAAACAGGGTGCTGTGAGGATGCGACGGTGATTTCTCCAAAGTTCACAGCTGAGGCACTAAGCAGCGCCTGTTAGAAAATCAAAGAATTGGAAGCCACAGAGCCAGTCTTGGCCCACAGGCCATCCCTTTATGAGGAAGAACCCAGAGCAAGGAGGAGGTGGTCTTTTGAAAGTGAAACATCTTTCAGGAGCGGTCCAGCTGTGGTTACGCACAGAGTCACTCGTCACCGCATGGTGTGTGCCACACAGCGGGAGTCTGGACGTCTGCCTGCCTCTGACATGCGGGTCCCGCCCTGGTGCCTTCTCCTTCCTCAACACCAGAGAGGCGTGTGGAGGCAACCACAGCCCTCCCCTCCGGGTTGCAAGAACCATGAGCTTACCCCACACTGGGAGAAGCACCTCCCCTTGTACGTATTCAGATAATGTGTACTCTTGGTTTGCCCTTTTTATGGCGGGGCAACTGAGGCACAGAGAAGTAGGAAATCTGCTCCAGGTCACACAGCTATATGGAGGAACTGGAATCCCACCCCAGGCATTCAGAATGCAGAGCCCATGATCTTGACCCCAACTCCAGAGGATATGAAATTTCTCTCTAAATAGTAACACCCTCATTATAATTATTAAATGTGTCAGAGAGGACCAGTAGAAATGTCAGAAAGTGCTGGGAAGTGCGATTTGCCAGAGTCCTAAGAGAGTTCCACTGTGCTGCAGAAAGGGAGTCAGAGAGGGTGGGAGAAGAACCGATGGGACAAAATGCCCCAGCAGGTCGTTCAAAACAGATAGAACAGAGGAACAAGTTCTGTCACACATGGGATGTGTGTGTGTGGCTGTGTTTTGATGCATTAATCTTACATTTTGAGTCTTAAAGAAAATATTCAGCCCCCAAGTTGGTGGGGCTAAATCTGTTACACAAATATAAAATGACACTGATGGCACCAGGGAAGGCTCTCTAAAATTCTCTCCTCCACCAGTTTCTCGCTAATCCTTGCTTTGTTCCTTGTGCTCTTCTGGCTTGAGCACTTCTGGCCGCTCAGAGTTGTGCTGAACGAGCCCGGGGACGGAAGAGTCTGAAAGATCAGTGTTCTCAGCAGGACGCCAGGTTTCCGGGTCCCACTCAAGTGGGTTCGTTCCTAGAAACTTGCTCCGGTGAACGTGGACCAATGGGAAAGACTTGTGTTTGAGAACTTGGTCCTGTTGAAATCTCAGTCGGGAGAAGGACTCTGGAGGGCATCTGGTCCATGGCTTCCCCAAAGCTGGCCCAGCCTGCAGCCCTAGACTTGCGGGTATTGTAGGTCCAAAATGATGACTGGAATTTGTATTTTAAAAGTGTTCCTCAATCGATTCTCCTTGCGCCTTCGAGCTTCTTTAGAAGCACTTTTAGCAGCTACAGTTGTCCACTTTCACTTGGTTAACTCTAGTGATGGGATTCTCACTACTTCCTGGGGGTAGCCCATTCGACTTTTGGGTAGTGCTAATTGTTCAAATTTTTTCCCCTTAATTTAGACAGAAATCCACATTTTGTTAGCTTCTACCTATTGGTCTCACTTGTGTTTCTTCCATCTGGGCTGTCCTGAATCTTTCACAGCAGTGGTTGTGTTCTCTGCAAGTCTGTGAGAAGTCCTTCCTTCATCTGTGAGGAGACCCTCTTATCATGAAGGGTCTAGACTTGGCCTCAGAGTTTGTGCCTTCCGTCTACCATTCATTCTTTGTCATAGGAAAGTTTTCCCACTCTTTTTTGTGCACATAAGCTTTATTCCTCGTACGAGAGCCACGCTGCCTCATGTCCCTGAGTCCTCCATCCAGGCCTTTCCCAGGCCGACTTCCTGCCTGGAGGGGTGTCCTGGTGACACCTTGGGAACTTTTAAACCCACCAAGATGTTGTCTTTGGCATCAAGTAGTCTCTTTTATCTTTGATAATCTGTTTTCTTGTTTTACAACGGAGATCTTCCATACCACTTACCAGCTGTGGTTCTCAAAAAATCAAATATGATTTTGCCCCTAAGGGACATTTAGCAATGTCTGGAGACATTTTTGGTGGAAACAACTTGTGGTGGGGAGGGGCGGTTCTACTGACGTCTAATGGTTAGAGGCCAGGGTATCCTAAACCTACAATGATAGCCCTCATTACGAAGAGTTATCCAGCCCCAAATGTCATAGCTACAAAGGTCGAAAACTCTACTTTATTTATTTATTTATTTTTAAGATTTGACAGAGAGAGATCACAAGTAGGCAGAGAGGTAGGCAGAGACAGAGGGGGAAGCAGGCTCCCTGCTGAGCAAAGAGCCTGATGCGGGGCTCGATCCCAGGACCCTGAGATCATGACCTGAGCTGAAGGCAGAGGCTTAACCCACTGAGCCACCCAGGTGCCCCCAAAACTCTATTAACATAAAAAGCAAGGAATGAAAGCAGACAAGAGAAAGAAGAAGACTCATATGAATTTGCGCAGCCTGCCTCTGAGGTTCTGGGCCCTGCACTTTGGGGACAAAACTCAGGGCAACAAACAAAAGGGCAGAATTCAGGCAAAGAGGAGGTCTCCCAGGCACCCCTAACCATCAAGAAGCCGGCAAAGGGTCCTCTATTTTTGCACCGGGTAGTCTGGGTTTCCTACAGTGTGACATCTTTCTTGCTCATGGCTTGAATATAGTAGCATTTAAAAATAAATGTATTTAAGGGAAAAAGTGAGTGGATTTAAAGAACGTATTAAGTAAATAACTGAACAGCTGGACCTTAGGTATGGCCAAGGTTATGAAGCGGTCACAGCTCACTGAAGGTTGGTCCACCACGTCCGCGGCAAGACCCCTGTCCTGTAGAAACAGAGTTGCTGGTGCAGATGGGGGGATGGGGAGCGGATTCCATTTTTGCTCTTATAGGTGAAGCACAGGAGCTGGGATTCAGGAAGAGGCAATGGGCAGTGCGGGAGAACTTACCGGTCTTGGAGCTCATCTCTGCACAGTACTTCTTCCCACGCTGGAATGCTCCAGACCAGCTCCGGTATGTATCCAAGGCTCCATCAATCCACTGCCACTGATGTCTCTGCCGGTGACCAGAGATGGAAGACAGTCAGCTCTCCTCCAGCCACTTGGAAACTTGTAAAAATGCGTCACTGCAAAAACTGGGGAAGCCCAGAAATGTGCACCGGAATGGAACATGGAAAACTCACCCCACTTAATCAGTGAGAGGAAAACGCCAACGTTTTGGCCTATTTCCTTCTGGTGTAAACATTTTTCTGGATCACAGTATTTTTACGTGCTAACATATGAGATGATCTTGAAAATACCTCTTCAACAGTGCATCTTGCTTCCTAAACTTTTTTAGATGGTAATGATGTACTAGAATTTGCCTTAATTCTGTTGATGATAGTTACATTGTTTCCAACTTACTCCCATTATAAAGAATACTGCCATGAACAACTTTGTTCCTGGAGCTGTTTCTGTACTTAAACTTACTTCTTAGGATAGAAACCCGAAAGCAGAATGAAGAAGTTAAAGGATATCATTTGTTGAGGGTACTGATATACATGGTCAAACTACTTTCCAAGCACTTTTCAGTTGTAGGAATTTAAATCCCATCTTCTGGACAATTTCTTTATATCCCTAAAAATAATAGGGATTAAGGGTAAGCTTAATAAATAATAACATTGAATAATTAAGCAAAAGCTTGGTAATCTGACAAGTCAAGTTACATTGCTATTTTAACTTGCATTTCTTTGATAACTAGAGACACTGCACAATTTTTTAAGGGGTTTTATGAGCTATTTACTCTCTTCAGTTATGAATGTAGAAAAGTAAATTACCAAAACAAATCTGGTATAAATAGATGTAAATATTTGTCTGGACTCTGAAGGAGAGAGTTCTGATTGATAGCAATGTGAATACATAAAAATATATAATGAATTGTATAAAATACTGGCAACATCTATGGCAAAGTTTTGGCAAGAGACTGGAGATTTCTTCTTGCGTTTCTGATGTCTTTTTGGGTTAATGATAGAAGCACCACGAAGAATCTGTAAACTGCAGGTCCCACATACCTCTGCGACCAGCCCAAAAACCTCACATGCCATTCTTTACAAGGAGGTAGTGATGGAAAGTGAAACAAGGGAAAAAAGTTATGGATGACTTGAAAAACACAGTAGCATCTAGGAAAAAGCTTGGCTGAAATTTCCTAACTTTGACTCAAGATCTAACGAGTATTATTAAGCTGGGTCCCCTAACAGGGGTGTGTGTGTGCATGCATGCATGTGTAGTGTGTGTTTGTGTGTTTATATAAATATATGTGTGTGTGTGTGTGTGTATACACACATATATAGGTACATATACCTATATATACTTACAAACATTTTTTAAGGCTCTGAAAAGCTGGTCATGGGGTGTTCTAAGATTTGGAAGGAATTTATTTAGATAGAAGTTCTATAAAACGATGCCACTGAAATAATTTCCTCCACAGAGGGACAGAAGGGAGATGCACAGCTTGAGGCTTTGGCGGATCAGAGACAGTGACTGAAGGAGACCCACAACCCATGCCCCTGTCAGTAGGGCTGGAGGCTATTTCCCAGGCTAGGGGCTATCTATCCGGCTTTCTGCAGGGGGCCTCTGTTGACCGTCTGACCTTACCTTTTCTGGGTCGTGCAGGCCGATCCACACGGGCTGGATTCTTTGGTAGCCAATTATGTAGTTCGCTACCACGGAGGCTTCCTTTGCATTCTGGAGAGACACCAGGTGGGCTCCGTTTCCGTAGGACTGACACTCGAACTGTGGGCCAGATGTTGTGCTAATCACCTCTTGAGTTTTAAAAGGGTCATCCTCACCCCAGAACCCCAGTGCACCAAGCAACAGGGAGTGCGCAGCCCCACCTGCTCCAGAAGTTGAGATCTACACCCTGTGACTCTGCCTGTTTCCAGAGGAGAAAACACAATTGCCCCAAGTGTGGGGTCTCAGAGGAAGAGGCAGCTGGAGGCAAGGTCGTGAGCTTTAGGGTCCATGGACGTGCCTGGGGTCCTCCTGGTCTTGCCTCAAGTTACTGTATGTGACCTTGACAAGTCACATGACCTCTCTGAGGCTCACAATGCTTATCTGTGAAGTTGAAGAAATAATCACTCTGCTACACAATGGACTTGTGTAGGGATATAATGGCTATAATTAAATATTCTAATACTGCATTTCAACAAACCTAAGAAATCACTAATTATAAAATGTGCCCTTTGTTTCATGTTCCACTAGAAAAGAAAGAGAGAAAAAATCAGTGCCACTTTCTTTAAGGGAACACTGATTTCGGAGGTGTTTAGACGTGATCAGGATGCATCTCACAGCAGAGAGAATAGGGCAGTGCTCTTCATGGAGCACCTCCAAAATGATGAGCACCTCAACACGCTACCCCCATTGAATCTTCACACCGATCTCAGGAAGTAGAACCCACCTGTAGCTTATGGTGGAAATGCATGATCAGAAAAGTGTGTCAGACTGAGTTGCCCAAGAATAGAGCCCCGGTCTACATAACTCCCAAGTTTGATGTCCATTCTATTTTACATCATTTATTATTTATTAAATTATTATGAAATTATTCTGGCTCTGTCTTGCACAAGAATAGTACATTGTGAATTGTAAACAGTGTTCTGTACATTATCTTTATCTGGTACCAGATAGGAATAGTGTGGATTGTCCAAAAATCTGTGATGCTCCCTCCAGGAGAGGGGAGATGCCTCAGATGTTGGTTTAGAATTGAAGATCCCGTGCTCATGACTTTCTGATTCCAGTTGAATGTGCCTGTCTGTTTGCTTGTCCTCAGCAGTAGCCACAGGATTTAATCTAGTTGGGGTTTTGAGTATCTTCATCCCAGTTAAACCAGACCAGGGGCTGGTGTGGGAGCATGGAACTATCTTATCTCTCTGTTGCAACTTTTAAAACTCAGCTCCAGACCCCAGTTTGTTTTGCTGCTGTATGTCTTTTTTGATCCCAAATTCTGTTCTTCAAAGATGTTGCCTTCATTCCTATGCAAGAGAACATGATCTGGATTTTTCTTATCATTTCCTGAATGATAATCCCCTTTTGTTTCAGGTATTGGATGGAAGATGTGGCATAACCGTTCCCTAACCGGAAACTTACTGTTCAATTAAATAAGACAAACTTTTACATGTACGTATCTTATAGCTAGATAGAGATACCCACTTATTTCATGCTTTTTGGGGGTTGTGTTACAGGAGCTGCCTACATGGTAAAACTTAATTTAATACAACTTAATTGGATAAAAACATGGCTTTGGCTGTGGTTGCTATTCCAGTGCTTCCCTTTGGTATCCTGCTCATGATGAGATGTGGTTAGAGTTGAGTGTTTGTGCCGGCCTCCCATTTGCCAACCACTTCACAACACCAGAATGCTTCCAGACCCCTAACTTCATTTGACTTTTGAACTTGGGAGGCATGGAAGTCAGAGAACCAGTCAACATTTACTGAGAGTGCCAGTCACCAGGGATTCCTGGGACAGAAGGGAAACGGGCTCCAAGTGATTCAGTGAGCTTTTCCTCCAAGTTCCAACTCCTGGTAGTGAGGGAATTTGGCCTGGAACCCAGACCTCTCTGCCTCTCATGTCTGAGATCAGATGTACCCACCATTTTCATGGTCCCCTTCATACCAGGGCTCTCAAGAACTGAGATCGACTCTCAGTACTGGCAACTAGTCAAGCTAGCAGCAGTGGCCATGGTAAAGTTTTCCAGTACTTTCTCTGCATTCTGATCAGGAGTAACCGGTTAATTCTGCTAAGGCCCCAGATCAATCGTGTAGACTGTTTTTGTCTTGAGAACTCAACTGAGTACTTAGCATGTGCCATAGGCTCTTTGCAAGTTATTTTAAGGAATCCTTCTGAGAAGCCCATGGGGTGAATTGTCATCCCCATTTTAAAACAAGAAAACCAGTCAAGTGAGGTATCACTTAACTCTGTAAGGCACTGTTAGGATTGAAACTCATGTCTATATTACTCCCAAGTCCTCCAGGTATCTTCCCCTTTGTGTTGGCAGAATTCGTGTTGGAATCTCTGGAGACAGGCAGAATGGGTGGCCTTCCAAGATTTCTTCCAGTTGCTTCTCAAGAACTCAGGAAAAGTTCATTGCTCTCCATCAGCTTTCTTTCTTTCATCGAATAGTGTCTGGGAAACCCCTTCTTCATTTAGTGTTCTCTCTCTCTCTTCCTCGCTCTCTCCCTCTCTCTCTCTGTAACTATCATCCACGTAAGCCCAGAAAGCATTGCATTAGGCTGACTTCCCTGGGTTTGTTCCATTAGTTACTCTGGGTGGGACCTTGGGAGAGTTAGTCATGCTCACACTGCATGGAAATGTTCTGTTTAAATACCACACAATCTTGCACAGGTCCTGCACGTTTTTGTTTTTTTTTTTTTTAAAGAATTTATCCTTTCATCTAACAGACGAAGATCACAGGTAGGCAGAGAGGCAGGCAGAGTGGGGGAAGTGGGGAAAGCAGGCTCCCTGCTGAGCAGAGAGCCCGATGTGGGGCTCGATCCCAGGACCCTGGGACCATGACCTGAGCTGAAGGCAGGTCCTAACCTACTGAGCCACCCAGGCATCCCAATCCTGCACTTTTTAAGGCCACAGATGACTTTGTATCTCTAATAGCTATTACTTGGAAAGTGCTCTGTCATTGCTGAGTTAGTTATATACAGAATTCTGAGGCCATTCTGGGCCTGGATCACACATTTTCCCATAAGGTGCCCCCAACTAATCACATCAGCTCAACAACCACAACCCAGAGAGACAGCAGCATGGGCTCCCCACAACCCTCTGAGGTAGAGTGGCTACTTGGGTATCTTCTAGACAAAGCCTCAGTGAAACAAAACCAGTACATTTGTGGGTGGTGTAGACAGTGAAGCCTTCCATTTGTTTAGTCTGCTTCCCTTTCTGTCAGGGGTTTCTGAAGACCATGCCCCAGGCCTGTCTGTACCCTGGTCTTTCTGGTAAATCAGGTACAGCAATTGAGTGATTCTTTCTAACGGTCTTTATCTTCTCATTCTCCTGTTTGTGTATTTCTGTCCTTCCTCTGGACAGTGACCTCCTTGAGGGTAATGGCTGTTTCTTGTTCATTCTTATGTCTTGACAGCCCATCTAGGGTCTGGGCATAGATCACAGGCCCCAGCAATGCTTTGAGAACTGAATGAGAGGAACACACCACCTCCTTCTCCCCATTTCAGCAGCCACGTGACTCCTCAGAATGTCTCCTCAGAAGGACCCTTAATTCTGAGTCACATGAGACCAGCATCTCTGGGTGGCCCCTGGCTTTAGAGGTACCCGTCCAAGCGTGGGGCAAGATTTCTTACCTCAGCCTCAGACCAGCTCCTCAGCTTCCGGAAGTATCCGTAGCAGTTGGACATGTAGTAAAACCATCCAGGAGCACAGCTGGGTCTCATGAGAATTTCTGCAGAGACATCAAAGGGCATCACAAGTTAGGATGGCAAAAACAATCACGTCCCACGCTGTGAAGTTTCCAGAATGATGGGGAGGCTGGGTACCCTGAGGAAGGGCCCTGCCACGCTCCCCAAACTTTGTGCCGTTAATCTTTCTCTCAGCCTTCCCCAAAGGGAACTATGGTCTTTATAAGGCTAAGTGCACATTGGAGAAAAGGAGACAACTGGATTCTTTGAGGATCACTGGACACTGGTTCTGAACTGGGAGACTAATTCCAGGAGACTCAAAACATCACTGTGGTCTGTCAGAGCAGAGCTTAGGGAGGTTCAGGTGACCATGGAGTTTTAGCTAGGAGTTTGACGGCAGGCCCGGTGGGACCCCCAGCCCACCCTGTGATTCTTTCCTGGTTATGGGATGCACCATTGGAACAGACATATTCAGCAACTGGCAGAATCCTCACTTTGGTCCTAAGGTCAAACAGCCATAATTCGAGGCAGCACCAGAGTGGACGAGGGGCATAAGTTGGCAGTTTTAGGCATTACAAGGAAGGAGTGGTGTTTTGGGCCAGAGGGACACAGGACAGGTTAGATGGCAACTTGGACAGAATTGAAGATGGGTAAGCTGGGCTGTGAGTCAGTAGTGAAGGGACATGTTAGGCCAAGGGGGTGAGCAGAGGAATGGGGGCAGAAGCTCACAAGATGTGCAGAGCAAGAGTGAACACTGAAGTTTGCCTTAAGTAGAGGGGATCTTTCAGACAAGCACGGTGGAAAGGAGAAGGAGAATCATTAGGCCTGGATGCTAAGGAAACTGTGACGGAGAGAAGCACAATCTCTTCCTGCTAGTTGCCTTAGTGGGGGGGCCATGTCACCATATCTGAAGGTTCAAGAAGCAAGGAGATGACTGGCAATGCAGAGGGCCTCGATGATGAAGAGAATGCTAGGCTAGTAAGTTTGGGCTTCGTGACCCTGGGGCTGCACTCCAAGGCTAGATGTGAGTGCAGGGCTCCTCCTGCTCCTAAAGGATGTCCACAGATTGTTGTTGTCACACAGCGAGCGTTTCATCTCTCCCCACTCAAATGACACCACTATCCTTTGTTTGCCCGATTCTCCTGTTCTATTTCATCCGTGCCTATAAATCCCTAGGGACTAACTATGCTTTTATTTTTTTTTAAAGATTTTATTTATTTGAGAGAGAGAGAGTGCGCGAGAAAGCACGAGAGGGGGGAGGGTCAGAGGGAGAAGCAGACTCCCTGCTGAGCATAGAGCCTGATGCAGGACTCGATCCTGGGGTTCCCGGATCAGGACCCGAGCCGAAGGCAGTGGCTTAACCAACTGAGCCACCCAGGCGCCCAGACCTCCTGTGCTTTTAGATAAGCTCCCTACTCTGGCTAGCATGGAGGGCTCTAGTGACCTAGCCCCACAGCCCTATCCATCTGGATCTTCCTATCCAGCAGCAACCCCAGAAAGTCTCTACAGCGGGGAACAGGATCTGTAGAGGAGCAGTGGAGTGACCAGTGGGCATGTCCTGGCTCTATCACCTCTGAGGGACAGAAACCAGAGAGCTTTAGTGAAGTCCCAGAGCAGGGCGATTGGTTTCTCACTCACAGGGTGTAGCTTGGGTGAATTTCAAGTCCTTGCAGGGTAGCCAGAACAAGAAACAACAGGGATCTAACTCTGGTTAGGTGGCTCCACAGGAGGGCTTGGGGCTGCTTCTTTCATACTCTAGCATGGCTTAGAGAAAGTGGCTGAATCCCCCAGGTGCGGAGCAGCCATAAAGATTGAGAGAACTGGTGGCTGGCAGTTGGCGTGGGGTAGAGGGCAGAGAGCCTTTGGGCACAAAGGGGGCTAAGGCAAGGACCACAGACCTTGAGCCACGGACACCTATGAGGCCTGAAGAACACTGCTTCTCTTCCTTTGTCCTCCCAATGCATCTCCCCTTGGCCAAAGTATTCCCCAGGTTATATACATGCTCAGGCATGGTTTTCCCCACAGGGCCACATGGGACTATGAGAGGCACCCCAGACTGGGAGCCAGAATATCCTGCAGTCTTGCTATGTGATATTGGGCAAGTCCAGACTTCCTTTGGGCCCCAGCTTCTTCGTAAACAGAACAAAGGCATTATACAAGATGTGCTCACATTCCATTTCTTTCCATTTTGGATGTTCTATGATATGTATTTTTAGCTCATGTGTACAGTTTTCTTCCCGCTTTCTCCGCTGCAAGATCTTAGGGTATTGATTCCTACCTTGTTGACATGTTACTTTGTACTTGATGCTGGGTCTACATGGGTGTAGGACCCATCTCTCCAATAAGGCTCTAAGTCCCTTGCAAACCAAAATTGCTGGTATGTTCAAACGGGAAAACAATGCATGAATGTTGGGGAGCTCTAATTCTAGTTCTCGCTCACCAACCGCTAGGTGACAGATGCTTTAAATACGTTATCTCCACCCTTCACCAGAAACTTGTAAAATAATGATCACAACTGACATTGAGTTGATAATTTCCCTATGGCTTACAACCACACGAGGTTGGATTTGTTTGATTCTACAGTCCTTGTGATTTTCCCCACATGACCTTGTCCTTCGTTCCTGTCTTTGATATCTATTGCCTGCAGCACCTAAACATCATGTGGGGCGAGTGGAGGGCTGAGTCAGTGTGCTGCGCGAACACTGGCTGTCGGCTCACTTCCAGCTGAATGACTGATACTCACCTCCCAGGACTTCAGTGCTGGCTATACAGCTCAGCAGTAGGAACAGACGCATGCTTTGGGGGGTCATCTTCCTCTTCTCCGGGGAAGCTGAAGTGCTTCGGAAACCTCTCCTGTAAGGGTCTCAGAGACCGTGTGACTTTTCCCTCGAAGTTCCTGGATTTGCTTGAATCTGCAATCTGAACACAGTGGGTGAGACAGACCCAGAATTTAGATGGCAAATCACATGTGGAGGAAAAAAAAAATAATTTTCTGGATGAACCCAGATTATACAATCAAGGGACTCTCAAGATAACTGTAGAGATTAGGGGTATTTAATCTATGTCACCTGCAAGGCCTCTGGTCCAGCGCCAGATACCTAACTGTGTTGGGTTGAAGAGTTTAGTAGTCTGGAGGAAGGCATTTGGTCCATTGCGAAGAGCCTGCTCCTGCTATTCTCAGAAGGACCAGAAGAGGGCGCCTAAGGCACGCTTTCGCACAGATGGGGCGGTAATGGACTTTCTATTGAGTCAACTCAATCAAATCAAGTCAGTCGCAAGAGCGAATTTGTCTGTGTTAGCACTAAAAGGGCATATATGGTCCAATACCCACATTTTACAGATGAGAGGACCTGAGGTCTATGGGTATTAAGTGGCTTGTTCATAGTCACACAGCTACAACTAGATAGTCAGGCACCCTCTTTCCTTCACGCTTAGGTATAACCGCATTTTTTTTTTTTTTAAAGAAAATGACTTTATTATCTTCCCCATCACCAGACAGTACATGAACTATTAAAAGATCCGTGACAAACTGGAAAATAGGAAGTAAATTCTATCTCCCAGAGATAAACAATTTAGTGAATAGCTTATGGACATCTTTCTATGTACATATGTCTATGTGTTGATTTGTGTAGCATTTTATATAAGTCGAGTCATATAATTCTGATACCTCGTTTTGTTGCTCAGAAACTGATCAACTGTAATGAACCTTCTTCCCCTTGAGTAACTATTATGCAGTTTTGGTTCTCTCTTTAGTATAAATGCACATACACAGGGCTGTGACTTCACAGAACGTGCACGTTGTCACACTGATACCCTTAGCTAAAATGCCTTCTGGATGGGCTGTTCCATACATTCCAGTAATAGCACATAGACAGCAATGCTGGTTCCCCCAGACTTCAAGGAACACCCAATTTATCCATTTTTTTCTTGCTAATTTTGGCATAATAAGAAAAATCTCACTGGCTAGTATTTTTAAAATATTCATAATTATATTACTTAAATTAATAATTAAAAAAATTTTTCAAGATATATAAAAAGTTGAAGATCTTTTTATATAATGATTGATTAGATTTTTAAATTTTTTTGTTAAATTTTTGGTTTATACCTTTGCACATTTTTCCTGTTTGTTATCTTTTTTCTCAGAAATCTGTAGGGCCATTTTTGTGCATTTGTTGTTTTTCATATATTATTAATATTTTAACATTAATACTTTAATATTAATATTAATTTTAAATATTTTTATATTAAATATTTTAATATTAATACTAAAATACTTTGTATTTCTTTTTAAATTTAATTTTGTTTTTTCAGTGTTCCAAGATTCTTTTTTATATCTTTTGTCACACTGAAAATTTCAAAAACTGTCATATTTACCTTCTCCTTTAAACATTTGGACTTTATATCAGAAAAATGTGTCATTACCATCCACATAAGATTAAAATATCTACCCATATTCTCTTTTATTTTCGTCCATCTGGTGTTTATTTTAGTGTAAGCATATGAATTGGGTCCAAGATTTTTTCCCTAATAATTATTAGGATGAGTGATTCATTGAATCTTCCCTTGAGCATGCTTTATGATCCAACAATCAGAATACATATTCTAACTATCAAATAATAGATTGCTTAAGGGGAATGACGGAACATAATGTTCAAACTTTTCTGGATATTCTACACAGGTCCATGTAAGCACTCCAACACAGTGTGAATAAAGAAGGAAACCAAATGAAGAAGATTGTGATGGACCCTCTGCTCCCAAACATTTTACATCATTGTATTAGCCCTGCGCTTCTCTAACGAACTTCCATTCAGAAGGTGATGGAGGTATGTTCAATGTCCTCCAACCCCCTTAAGACACAAACAGCAAGGACTTCTCTGTCCAACCAACTATCTGGGGGGAAGGGAGGTAGAGCATCTTTTGGGATAATCTGTAAGTGGATCTTAACAAACTGACATTCATTGGATGCTCGCATGTCACCTAATGTAATCATAACTAGGCTGCCTTGTAGTTATCATTAACTTATTTTACACATGAAAACACACACTTCATTGAAATTAAGGAACTCTCCCAAAGTTTCACAGCTGCTAGATTTCACAGCCAGGATTTAACCCCATGCTGACACCAAAGGCAATGCTCTTTACAGACAGAGAAGAAAGAAATGCATAGTTCAAGTAGAAAAACCAGCAGCACAAAGCATGACTAACATCATTAGACCCAGAGCTTGTCACTTCTGGCCCAGTGAAAAGCTGATAGAAGAAAACAGATGTTCAAAGAAAGCCTTCTGCCCTCAAATGGGTGGAGATTACCTACCTGATCAGCCCTCAAGGCTTTGAGGACCCCTGCCTTCTTCGGTGTCCTGAGAGATCCCCGGCAGTTTCTTGAGTTCTTATATCTTCTTGCTTCCGGAATTATATGGCCCTTGTTTTAATCATAGAGCAACAGTACTGCTTGAAGTAATAACCCATCCATAAAAGTCTTATCTGTAGTCAAAGTGAATGCGTGAGAGAAGGGAGAAGAACCCCTCCTCATTTGTAAATAGTCTTTCCTTTCCATCCCACCTTATCAAAACTGACAACATCCTGTAATCTGTTAGAAGATAGTCTTCTCTCCCCGTATTTACCTTTTTTTCCTTGTCAATCTTTTTTTTTTCTTAAGATTTTATTTATTTATTTGACATAGAGAGAGAGCGAGCGCGCACAAGCCGGGAGAGCAGCAGGCAGAAGGGTGGGAGAAGCAGGCTTCCCCCTGAGCAGGAAGCCTAACTCAGAGCTGGATCCCAGGACCCCAGGACCATGACCTGAGCCAAAGGCAGCTTCTTAACCAACTAAGCCACCCAGGCGCCCCTTCTGTCAATCTTTTTATCTCTTTCTACTGTCAATTTCCTTAATTTCTCTTTCCTTTCTATAAAGATGCCCCACTTCAACTCTGGAGAATCAGGATGTGTCTATCTTTGCGGAAACGATTTGCCACCAGGCCTGGATGTAAGTTTATGCACCCCTGGGGTGTGCTTGAGGGGTCCATACAGACTTTCCTCCTTAAGACACCAACCCCATCCACCTCAGCATGCACCCCATTCCTCAAATACCTGTTTTAACTCTTTCTCCTTATTCCTCAGGAACAAGGCACTGAAATCTTGACCTAATGGAGGGCAATTATGTCAAAATAGCTTAGAGTTATACAATAATTTATGATACAGTGTTTCCACCTAAGCCATTACCTGAGCTCCTAACAGAATCCCCGGGACTGACATAGGACATATACCCCCATTTCACATGGAAGCAACTTGATATTAAGAGAGAGCAGAGAGCCTGCTCAATCAGGATCATCATACTGGTCAGTGGTAGAGCTGGACCTTGACCTCTGGCTGTCTCTGTTTCCTGACTCACACAGTCTAAAGAAGAAAATAACCTATTTGAGAAAGGCAACACCATTTCCTTCTCTGGTGTAGGTAGCAAAAAATTAAACTACACTGAAGGTGTTGGAGATCATTCAACCTCAACGGACTAGAACGTTAAGGCTGGGAAGGATAACAGGATTTCTCAAGTCCTGGGCTTTTGCTCTACCAGTGAGGAACCTGAGGCCCAGAGAAGCCCAGGAATGATTCAATACGCACAGCTAGTTTGGAGTACAGCTGGCATCAGAAGCTGGGCTTTCTTCCTCTCAGCTCAAGGTTATTTTTACAATGCTACTCGGGCTTTTTGCCATCAGCTTTTTCCAACCTGTGTATACATCCATGGCAGGACAAGAGAAAGTCATGTTTCCATGGTGTACAAAGTGTACCGTAGAGAACCTCAGCCATTCTGATGATGCTCTGGGGAAAGAACACAGGGCCTGGCTTCTGGTGGATGTGGGTTCAGGTCCTACTCCTGTTACCTACTTGCTGCGGAACATTCAGCGTGCTCCTGAACCTCTCTGCACCTCAGTTTCCTAAGTGTATGTGGTAGGATATTACCAGATGAATTTTGTTCTTTATACTACCTGTTAAACACAGCCTTTTCCCCTTTAGGCAGCTGGGTGGGAATCATCATTGCTTCCTGACACAATAAAAAACAAAGATATTAATTCCAAGCCATTTGAGTTCAAAAGCACTGGTCCAGATGCAAGAGAGAAAAGTTTTGACAAAATATATGCCCAAGGAGATTTCCCAACCCCCAACCCTCACTCTGCTAGCTTCATGTCACGATATAAAAATTTTAAAGTCTTGATATGAAAGAGGGAAGAGAAGGAGATAAGACAAGAGGATTAAAGACTCCTAGGACTTTAAGAGATCTTACACTGAATCTCCCTCATTAGTTAGCTCCAAGAGAGGACATTGAAGGAACCCACATAAAACTTTGGAATGTAAGAATACAGAGGACTCAAGAACTATCTGAACTGAAAAGGGCCATTAGAATACTGAGTAAAAACATTTGGAATTTTTCTTTTTAAATTTTTTTTTTTTTTTTAAGATTTTATTTATTTATTTGCCAGAGAGAGAGAGAGAGAGAGCACAGGCAGACAGAATGGCAGGCAGAGGCAGAGGGAGAAGCAGGCTCCCTGATGAGCAAGGAGCCCGATGTGGGACTCGATCCCAGGACTCTGGGATCATGACCTGAGCCGAAGGCAGCTGCTTAACCAACTGAGCCACCCAGGCGTCCCTGGAATTTTTCTATATGTAGGCACATCATACATGAAATTTAGAGAGAACCCTAAAATGGCAAATCAGCAATTACCTCCAAAACTAGGATCAGAATAGCACCATACCAGAGTAATAAAAATGGAAGGGAAATAAAAACAAATAAACAAATAAATGAAATATATAAATAAAAAATAAACAAATAAATAAATAACATAAAAATAAATAAAAAGCGTGAAGGGAAACAACTTTCAACCCAGAACTATATTCCCACCCAAACAATCAATGAAGGAGGGGAGCATGAAATTAAGACAAGTGAAAATTATAAAAACATAGAAAGGATATTGTCCATAGTCTGCTACTGGGATTACTGCTCAAGCATGTCTTTTGGAAAAAAATAAAATAATCCCTGAAGAAGAGAATGTGGTAAAATAAAGAGATAGGTATTGATGTTAAATAAGAATTCTAATGTTTAGAATACGATTCCTAGTGACTTTTAGTTTTTCTTCTTAATACAAGTTGGGTCTAAAATATCAGACAATGACAACAGGAATTAAGAGTTTGGAGTAAAGTTAAAATTTCATTTCTAAGGTCTGGTGCTAGTTAAATTTACTTGATTAGAAAATTTTCATTTGAGAAGACCTGAGTGGTACGGTCAGTTAAGCCTCTGATTCTTGGTTTCTGCTCAGGTCATAATCTCAGGGTCCTGAGATTGAGCTCTGTGTCAGGGTCCAGACTCAGTGCAGAATCTGCTTGAGATTCCCTCTCCCTCTCACTCTGTCCACCCCCTCAAATAAAGAAGTACATCTTTAAGATAAAAAAGAGAAAATTTTCATTTGAGTCTGTGTATTTCCAGAATACTATTTATACAATGCAAACTTGATGTTGTTACATTTATGAGGAAATAGTAAAATTGAGCCTTTCCTCTATCCAAATTTTTAGGACAGCAGGAAAAACCTTCCCATCTTAGCCCCTTTTGTGACTCTAGTCTCTGGCACTGGGGCTCACTCCACTCATGTCTGACCACCATCAACACCCCATCAGTATTTCCTGGAAACCACACAAGTCATGCCTCTGTGCCTTTTTCCGTGTCATTCCCCCCTTTTTGCAATACTCTTCTTTTTATTTGTTGGGTCATGTTTATTTGTCTTTTAATTAATTAATTCAACAAACCTTGAATGTTATTAAGTGCAAGGATCCTGGGTTGGGGGATAGGTGCTGTGGGGAAGACAACAAGAGGTAAGAAAAAGATCACCAATCTGGTCCCCAGCTAGCTTGGTTTTGTTCCCAACTTGAAGTTTCTCCTTATTCTACTCTTGGACAGCAGAGATGCCTTTCTTGTGCTCACAGACCACATGCTTATATTTAAATTCTATTTTCTGCCTGTCTTCCTAATCAATCTTTAAGCTACTTTGAGTCTGAGATCACACCAACTCATCTCCACAATCTTATGCTCAGGAGGTTTTAGTGCTAAACTGACCAATACCTAAGAAAGAATAGAGGCTTCCAAACCTGCCCCTCTTTTTCTTAGGTGTTTCCTTCTAGAGGACAAGTAGACTCACTCATGCCTTTCTTTTCCCCATAAACAAAAGTTTTGTTTTGTTTGTGTTTTGCTTTTTTTTTTTTTTCGAAGACATTCACCTCATTCTCAGAGGGAAATGTTTTCTTTCCTCTTTTGCAAGAATTCTTACTCTACACTTGCTTGAAGCATTTTGCCTTCATCTATGAAGTGATTCTACTTTACTTCCTAAAAGACTCTTCCTAGGGAAAACATACACATTGGTGTATCTCCATAGATAGATGGTACATTTCTGAAAAGATGAGGGTGGTTAAAAATGCTTAAATCAAATTGAGTTTTCTGATGGAAAATAAAAATATGACCTCTTGGCCTGTGTTCATAAATATTCAATAAGTTCTCATCAATTCATGGCCCACTAGTACAACTGCCCTGAAGGATAGGACATGTCCTAATCTGTGCTATTAATGTGGCAGCCATTAACCACATATGGCCATCAAGCACTTGGAATATGGCTGGTGTGAATAAGGAGTTGAATTTTAAATTTTATATAATTTTAAAATTAAATCTTATAATAAAATTTTAAATTTTATATACTTTTTGTCAACTACATTTAAATGTAAACACCTCATGTGGTTGGTTAGTGGCTACCACTAAGTGAAACCAAGAAGACAGGAGAGGGTCTCTTATAGAAACAGACTGATGTGAAAGAAGGGAGAAATTGTTCCTATTTTTGAGGAAGCTTAGAGGCAGAAAGAAACTTTGCAGAAATAAGTCCCAAGAACTTGAAGGAATTGTGGGGAGTTTGTGGAGAAAACTGTACAGCTTAGATTTGAGTCAAATTCTATTTGATCTCCAATCTGACACCTAGGTTATACTTCAGTAAATAATCCTTGTCATATCCACAGTTTTCTGATTCTAGTTTCCCTGACTGAAGCTCGGATGGAAGCAATCTCTTTGCCTTCCTCTTCAAATGACGGATGAAAGCCATTCTGAGTCAAAGAGTAGAGTCACTGCTTCTTCATCTGAAGTCAAGAATAAATCACCTCCAGCTTTGGGATGGCAGCTTTACCCATTTTAATTAGTGAACAATTTCTACTTTGTTGTTGATGCCTATTGGAAGTTTTTTGAAAGGGTCAATTATTTTTTGACATCTAAACATATCAATACTATTAAATCTGCATGAGAAAATAACCTCAGC